GGTTGGCACTGGATGGTCTTTAAGGTCCCTTCCAACCCAAACCATTCCATGATTCCAATGTCTCTGTCTCATGCCAGGCTGATTCCTGCTGCTGCAGGCTCCATGCTCACTCAGTTCCTCTGCTCTGGAGTGTGTGGGAAGGCTCAGGATGGGGAACTCTGCCCCTGGCCAGGGAGAGGCACGGGTGAGCTCCGTGTCCATTACTGATCCACTTGGAGGTTTCAAAGGTCCCYGAATGTCACTGGTCTGTGTCTGCAGGAGCTTTGGGCACAGGAGCTGCAATGAGCCCTTGAGATCGGGATAACCTGGTTCCTAGGGAGACTCATTAAAACAGCACAGAATAAAGCAGAAGTTGGTGGGGTCAGAGCAGGCTGGAGAGTTGATCATTACGGCCCTTTTAGTAGGTTTGTTTTTGTTTAAATTCTATTTTTTAAAGCATTTGCAGAGAAAACATTTATTCCAGGGATTTGRATGTAAAAGGTGTGGGGGAAGTGGATGAGGGCAAACCCTGACTGAGTATATCCCCGTGGATCAAGGTTTTCCCASGAACCAGGTGCCGGGAGCTGCATTTCACAGAGCCGGGGCCATGAGGGACCCCCATCGGTGCCATCGGACACGCGTCCTGCCCCTGGGGACAACGCCGGTGTGGGAATYGGAGAGGGAATCGCTGGGCAGGGAAATAAGCGGCTGGGAAGCAGCGTCTGGGACGGAGGAGGACGCGGGGCTCGGGCCCCATCCCCAGCCCGCAGGATCCCGAATGATCATCGGCCCCCCCACCCCGGCGCTGCGGTGATGTCATGGCACAGGGACAGAGCCGGTGGCTCCCGGGCTCTTGAGCAAGTGGCCCTGGCTCGTTTCCTTCCCCCGCCAGAGCCCCAGAGCGGGGGAGGGATGAAATCGGTCTGATCTCCCCTTCAGCGGYTCCCTCGGCTGCTTTACCCCCGATTTTACACCAGCCCACCTGCGCTGGGGACATCGCTGTCCCCTCCTCGCATCGCCCTGCACCCTCTGTTCCCTAATAAAGGCTGTTTTCCCCCCGTAGAGTGGAAGGGGCTTGGCCAGGCTGGGGTTAAACCTGGTGGGAGCTTCCCAGCCCCTCTGTGCTGCCGCTTTAACCCCCATCCTGGATCTTGTAGCACGCAACCTGTGCTGGCAGAGCTGGGACAGCCTTGTGACAGCCCCATCCCCTCCTCCCCTTCCCCTAAACCCTCTRCTTTTGTATAAAAGCCCCTTTCCCTCATTCCCGCGGGCAGCTGCCCAGGCCCATCCCAGCTCCTGCCTCAATCCCAGCTCTTGCCTCACCAGGTGCATGTTTCACCAACTCCAGTTCCCATCTCGACAGCCTTCAGTCAGAGCAGTCTCAGCCTCTCCCCTAATTCACCCCTTCCCTGACCTGTTTGTCCCCCTACAAAAGCCCCAGTGCTTTGAGCTTTCCCTGCTTTTCCCTCYTCCTCCTCCCCCTCTCAGGTGCAGCAGGAGGGAGGTTGAGCCATCGCCTTTCCCTGCTCCCTCGTCAGCCATTTCGGAGGCCAAGTGCTGACTACCAAAACTTTTCCTTGGGTTGCTCCAAAACTTTAAGGTTTTTCCTCTCACTTGTAGCTTGAAGTAGATTTTTTTTAAGGTAGTTTTTGTCCAGATTTCAGTTAATGACCTGGATTCCTACAGACCTGCTGGGAAACAGAATCAAGTTTAAGTGAGCCTTAGGCAAACAGACTGACTTGAGGCTACTCCTACCTCAGTGAGGTGCTCTSTGTGTCCATCACACACCATTTTACCTCTTTTCCAGGTACTTTTAACKATTTCAGCTCATTAAGCAGAATTAAAGTTGAAAATAAATGGGAGAAAATAGTAACAAAAAAGGGTTAAGCAGGGAATTACAACTAAGTTTAATCAAACAATAGTTATAACATTATGAAAATAATCTAGGATGTATTCCCTGGTGGAATGCCATTCTGATTATTTTCTAGAAATCACACCAAAACCATTACAGTTACAAGTAATTAAATTTATTAGACCTCTATATTTTTATAGTCAGTTTTGGCCAATTTACAGCTTTCCTGGGGATTTTTTTT